AAATAAATAAATAAATAAATAAATAAATAAATAAATAAATAAATAAATAAATAAATAAATACAAATCAGGTGTCCACTGCTTCTTCAGAAAGAAAATTGTGGCTCTGTGATGCAGAATTCCTAACTGTGCTTCCAGTCTGCTTAAAGCATACATGGCTGAGCTTGGTTGAAATGACTGGCTTGGTTCCTTGGAGGTCAATTGAGAGTAATGCTAAATCAGGGCCCATTTATGTAAAAATCTTCTCAAATGCTTCTCTAGTTTCTTTCTGTGATTCACTTTATAAATGAACTTTATGAATAAATGTTTACCTGTACACATCTCTCCTGTTTCTTCATCAATGCACTCTCTGTCATCGCACTCACAATATTTACCATGGATCAGCCCATTGCCTTCTACGTCATCACATTTACATCGGCCACAATGACAAGTTCCTGTAAAATTCAGTGGTGGAAAATGATACTAGCATGAAATTAGGCAATAAAGAGTGGGAAAGAATTTCAAGGCCTGATTCTTGCATACAGAAGTTTCTTGTACTTTTCTGTATGCATTGGGCAGGCCAGTGGACATCATATACAAGTACTTTCATTTGGTATCCATTTTTCAAAATATTCTCAGAATTTTGGTTCTTGGCTGTTGCCTTGAATGCTTTCTTGAAATGCTTTTTTGCCCTCAAACTGATGTCACCTAACAGATATCTTGAAAGACTGATAAGTGTGGTTTATTTATTTATTTATTTATTTGATTTATACCCCACCCATCTAGACCAATGGTCTACTCTGGACAGCATTACAACATTTTAAAAAAATAGCACCATGCAAGAATCCAAGATGTAAAAAAATGTAAATATTAAGATATAGCAGGAGGGAAAGCCTGCCTAAATAGCCATGTTTTAGGTTTGCTTTTAAAGACACTGAGAGAGGGAGCCAGGCGGATCTCAACGGGCAAGTTGTTCCAGAGGTGAGGCACCACTGCCAAGAAGGCCCGGTTCCTCGTTCTCTCCTTCCAGACCTCCCTTGGAGTTAGGCCCCTCGGTCACCCGGCCTGGCTAGAATGAGTGTCTCTGGCAGAGCTGGGTGGGAGAAGGCATTCTGCCAGATATCGAGGTCCTAAACTGTTTAGTGATGACACCTGGGTCTCCATGGTGAGCGCCGGGTCCAGATGTACACCCAAGCTGTGAACCTCACTCTTGGTGGTAAGAGTCACCACCACCCCCAAAGGAAAGGCAGTTTCCTAGACCACTGATGTCTGGGGCACCCACCTGAAGGACCTCCATTTTGCCCGGATTCAGCCTCAGTACATTCTCCTGAATCCATAGCTGAACAGCCCCCAGGCAGCGCTCAAGGAATGAGATAGCATCCACTATTGTTGGAAAAAAGGAGATGTTGCGCTGAGTACCATCAGCATACTGATGATACATAGCTCCACATCTCCTGATGACCCATTCCAATGGCCTCATATAGATGTTAAACAGCATTGGAGAGATAATCGAGCCCTGTGGGATCCCACAATTGAGGCTCCATGGGGCTAAGAAACTCTCTCCAATTTGCACTCTCTGGGGACAGTCCCCCAAGAAGGAACAGAGCCAGGCCAAAGTCAGGCCACTGATTCCCAACTCGAAGAGCCTCCCCAGGAGGATACTGTGGTCGACGGTATCAAAGGCAGCTGAGATATCAAGAAGGACCAGCAGAGACATTTTGCCCCTGTCGGCCTCCCTCAACAGGTCATCATATAGGATGACCAATGCTGTTTCCATGCCATGGCGCAGTCTGAAGCCCGACTGGAATGGATCCAGGGCATTTGATCAGCCTATCAGAATAGAAGTCTCACCTGAATTGGAACAGATGATATCTTGAGAATTTCTGCACATTTCATTACTTTTCTTCCGCGTAAGGTTGCAGGTCTTTGGATACTGGCAAGCATCACCATACCAGCCTTCATCACATCTGCACTTCCCACAGTCACACGTACCATGGCCTAGATCAGTAGGTGAAGAATGTCAGGTCTCATGCATGTTTTCCAATCCACTTTTCACAATCATAACAACAGCAACTGATTCCCCACCCATAAATCCAAATATTTTATATTGAAATTATAAATAACTGGCTGGAGTTTTTAAGCATATTCTTAAAGGTAACTTGGGGTGCTTTTTGATGAGGCTATTATAAAATTACTCTGTCTCATTTGTGAACCTTTATAGGAAGCCCAAATGATACTGTTGTGCTTTTTCTAGCTGTGCTGTGTTTATCCAATCAGTCTTCTATATTATTTAACAGAACAAGAACAAATATAAGCTACAGTGCTAAACATGCAACCAAGGAAGTAAGACCCACTGAGTACAAGACATAATGTCCAAGTAAACATGGATAAGATTACACAGTAGCACTTAGCTCTACTTAATTTACTAACAGTTGCTTTTTTACACATACTTAACCTTCAGAAAACCACAATATTCTTCCCTGAACATAAGCACATGCCTATGTATTTATATAACTAGACATGCACATGTTTTCATGCTATGTGAATCCTTCTCAGCCCACCCCAATAATATTGATACAGTGGGGGCTTGACTTGAGAACTTAATCCGTATTGGAAGGTGGTTCTCAAGTCAAAAAGTCTGTAAGTCAAGTCTCCATTGACCTACAGTGCATTGAAAACCGATTAATCCCGTAACAGGCCGTTTTTGTTCCATTTTGTTTTTTTTCTGGTCTGTAAGTCAATTCTCAGGCTGCAAGTCAAACCTAAATTTTGCGGCCACAGAAGTCTGTAACTCAAAAAGTCTGTAAGTCAAGCCGTCTGTAAGTCAAGGGTCCACTGTAATGGCAACATAGTAGAAGTCACTTTTTTGAATTCTATAAAAATATTTCTGCAGTTCATGCAAATATTACATTTAGCCTTTATCTTTAGGAAATGCTTCATTTCGCACACTAAAAAGCATTGTTTTCACATTTAGCCTTACACCATTTTAAAAAGAATTACAGTGGTGCCTTGACTTATGAACACCCCTACCTATGAACATTTCGACTTACAAACAGCTCTGCTCGCAAAATGTTGCTTCGACTTGCGAGTGGAGCTTCGAGGTATGAACAAAAAAAGGCAGGGGGCAAAGGCAGTAAATTCAAACCGTTGCCTCTGCCACTGCAGGAGGTGAGCCACCGGACCATGTCAGCCAGGCTCTGCCTCCTGTCCCCATTGCCCTCTGCCTCCCATTCCTCCTGCCTCTGCCACTGTGGGAGGCAAGCCGCCAGACCATGCTGGGCAGGCTCTGCCTCCCATCCCCGCTGCCTGCCCATCCCTGCTGCCCTCTGCCTCCTGCCCTGTTGCCCTGCGGCGGAGGCAGCGGGGACAGGAGGCAGAGGGCAGTGGGGACAGGAGTCAGAGCCCGGCTGGTATGGTCCGGCAGCTCGCCTCTCACAGCAGCGGAGGCAGCAGGGACAGGAGGCCGCGGGGCAACAGGGATGGGAGGCAGAGGCCGGCTGGCGTGGTTCAGTGGCTCGCCTCCTGGCAGCGGTGGTGGCAGAGGCAGTGGGGTAAGGTGCTACTTTTTGCTTTTTTAAAAATTGTTCTGTTTTTACAGTATTTCATTTATTTATTTAGGTTTTTTTTTTTAAATGCTGGAACAGATTAATCACATTCCCATGAATTTCAATGGGGAAATGGTGCTTCAATTTATGAAAATTTTGACTCACGGCCACCGTGCAATACGAATTAATTTCTTAAGTCGAGGCACCACTGTATCCATTTACTACTTCTGTCTAGGTTAAAATGAAAAGATAACATGCTGCAGAAAGGTGGGGTGGTGATGCGGGGGGCAGGGCTGGCTAAAGGATTCCTTTTCATAAAAAAACCAATCTGTACCCTCCTCTTTTACACTTTCGGAAGTGGTTGGTCAGCGGTGTGGTCTTTACTGGTACCAGAAGATAAGCATTAATTCCACTATTAATAAATTAAATGAATTCCCTCTTTTCTTGTTAATGCAATAAACATACTGCAATTTAGCCTTTTTCTATTCCAGTCTCCGTGGTGAATGAGTAGCTTGATCTCTCTTGATAAAGAAAAGGTGCCCCAGAAGAAAGTGTAAAAGGCATTTTTCTCCCTTTCTTCCTTAAACACCAATTTAGCAGCCTAGCTATCCTAATCTGTTTTTGCTGGTAGTCAGGAAACCTTAATCCCCCCCATCGCCAATGGAGATAAGCATTAATTGAAATACATTATTACACAAAAGGTAAATATGTGTATAAAATAGCCTATAAAAACCTGCTGCTGGCATAGCTGTCAGCTTGGATTGGGCATTTGATTTAATGGGTTGCCATAAATTGCGCAATTAACCCAGTGTTAAACTAGACGATACATTAAATGCACACAATTTGTTTAATAAGGCTGTTTTAAAAGAAACATCTAAATAGTAATTGCGAGGAGGGGAGAACACAATGAGGAGCATAACACATCAGGAGGACAGTTCTTCATCTCCTAACATGTTATAATCATTCATCACTCTATCATTGTATGTGCATGTTATTTGC